AGGCAGAACTAGAGATAAACGTTATTTAGAATTATATTCAGTCGAGAATCCGTGAAATATTTTCCAGTCAATTCAAGGTTAGCAAAGTTATATGCCCATGAGAGAGAACATCTCTTTGCCAAGTAATAACATTTAAATCAAGACTTCACTTAAAGTTAGAAAATTCTTTTTTTATATTCTTTTCACGTAATAAAGTATAATTAGGAAAACTTAAACGCGCAGAAAATTTCAGTGGATTTAAGCATCAAACAAGAGGTCAAGTTCATATTAAAAAAAAAAAACTTTAGTTTAAATTTTTCATTTTATGTGTAGACTAATTTTAATAAACTAAACAAAATTTTTGAAAGAAAAATGCAACGCATTTCCTACAGACTCTTGATAGTCCAAGGTATTGATAATTAGAGTTTTCTAAAATTTATAGCGTACCTTTAGCAGCGTTCGTATAATCAATATATAGACAGTCTACCATTCAGTTGTTTACTCAGCTTCTATATAATTTCGATGTCAAACATTATTTAAATATAATAGCGAGAGTGTGTTAACTGTCATTAGCTTCTGCTACTAACATAATTCTTATAAGGTCTCGCATGGATATGCATATAAATATGTATGTACAACAAACATGCAATTTTCATACTTTACTACCATAACGGTGACAATATGTGCTGTGTGTTGAATCCTCAAAAAGCGTGATATAAAATATTATCATTAAAAAAGACTGAGCAATATCTGTAGAACATAGTATGTGCTTTTAAAGTCCCAGCCAAATTTGACACTAGTGGTTGGTTGCCTGTCAATATGCACCCAGCAAAACAAAAAAAAAGAAAGGAAAATAGATAAATAAAAAACGCAAGTAAAAAAAAAAAAAAAAAAACGAAAAGAACAGGAAAAAAGAAATACAACGAGAGAACTTTCAAATTATTAACGTACTGACGCAAAACCATAAAATTTTAGTTCACGCACTAATACCAATTTATGTGTGTCATGCTTTAAGCACACCGAACTTATACATTTCCCCAACATAAACACAAACAACAACAACAACAACAACAATACATAAAATAAAAGCAAGCTCAGGACGACGAGGCTTAAGCATTAGTTATGATATGGCATAACATGTCATGCATTGACATATGCTCAGCGAAGGCATACAGACGCACTCATACGGACATATGTTTTTTGGAAAAAATCTGGCCCCTTGTGCTTATGCATGTTCGTGTTAAATCTATGAATAATTTTGGGCTCTAAACTGTGACATACTAACCAAGAAACAAAAACAAAACAAAAAATCATATTGCGTGTATTTTTCAGTCTGTTAAATGCTCGTGGGAATCACGCTATTTGGCTGTATAGGATTTGAAGCTCTGCGTTTTGGGAAATTCATATAAAACTAACGTCAACTAGAGCCGAAAATTATGCGTAAAAAAAAAAACTATATGTATATATATATATGTTAGACTGTGCTAGGATAGGACGCACTTGACTGACTATAAATCTAAAATGTTCAAATTTATGACAGTCGAAAACATTCGTCTACATAAATGACAAATTACATGTCTATTTTCAAATGCCTGAATGAATAAATGCGCAATGTATTCCACTGGTTTGGCAAATGTTTTGTAAATTTTGTATACGAACGAACTATTTATTACTCCAGCCACTTCTTCTTTACCAACGCCCAGCACTTTTCATCAAAAAAATATTATTTAAATATAAAACACATTTATTATGCCGCAACACAACAGAATATAGAATAAGTGTATAATGATGGAGCTGCATGGAACTCAGACGACAAAAATAATAATAACAACAACAACAACAACAATAATAATAATAACATCAGTAAAGTAACAAAAAACCCTACATATGCTTAAATATTTATAAATACCTTAACGTATGCTAACAAAAATTTTTAGCATTTTCGTTATTGTGTTCGTAGTTTTTGCATACTAAAAATTTACCTTCATTTCGGGGGAATAGCAGCAGCCACATCATCGACATCGGCATCGGCATCGGCATCGACATCATCATCACCGGCATCATCATCACCGGCATCATCACCACCAGCATCACTACTAACCGACGTTATAATGCAAATGCATCGCAAAAACTCATAAATAATAAATTATTTGTTATATATGTTTAAAGATATGTGTGCGGGTGTATATGTTTGATGGCACTTCCCATTACACAACCTGTTTGTTATTGTGCTGGTCATACATGGAGTTATTTAAATATCTATACACAGGCATTTGGTATACACCGCATATTCCCTCAATGTGTTGAGGCAACAAATTATCGCATAGCAAATGTTTGTTGAACATGTAATCAACAGAGAATGCATATAAATGTATATACAAGTAAAGGTAAAAAAATGTGAAAAAGAAAAAAGAAAATTAAATAAAATAATATAAAAGACTACCTAAAAATATGCAAAAATGTTGTTTTTATTTTTGAATAAAAGTATGTAAATACTTTTATTATTTATGCAAATACTTTTATGTCATAGTAGAGAATGAACCAAAAGAAGAAAAAAACAAAAAACAAAGAGTACGGCAAAAGAGAGCACTATGAAAACAAATTAAAACCAGAGAGCAAATGGCAATTATTTACTGCGCACACAAAAGAGAAGAGAAGTGAAATTTACTACTCTTCCATTAAATAGAGTATTTAGACAAATTATTCCTTTACATTGAAACTAATTAATGAAAACGCAAGAGACTTTGAAATTTTCTATTGAAATTTTACGAAATCTCTTATCTCTTAGCAATAAAAGTAAAAAGGAAATCGTCTGTTTCATTTTCTTAAGTACTCTTCTCTTTTGAATTTTTACTATATTTTTATCAAACGGCCTCTCCTTAGGTGTTCATATGTCTATTGCTTGTTTTGCTTAAACGATTAGCTTTAATGCTTTTGCCTAAAATTTCAGGGAGCAGTGAATTTTCAACATATTTATAGGCAAATTTTCTGGCAGACTCAACAGCGAGAAGAATATTATGAATGAGATAAAGCATGAAAAGGTGAAGAAAATTAAAGAGTGATCATGTACAGCTACCGATGTCTCCAGCGTTTGCTCCAATCAATAGGAAGCTCATGCTGGCAACGAACGTCTGAGTAAAAGTTTTTCGGATTTATAAATAAAAATAAGAAAAAATTGAAGCGTTTGTTTCGAGGTTGCTTCAGTTTCTGGCCTATTGTGCCTAGGGATTGACAAGGTTCATTTTTAACCATTCTCTCTTTGATCAACTGAGGAATGTTTGTGACACAATTTTGAACCTTTCCACAAAATAAGTGAATCAAATGGTATCAAAAAGAGGCCATTTTTGCGGGACCATATCGTTAAAAACTCAACCCTTATCGTTGCACAATCATCGTATTCAGTTGTTTCAGGTACAAGTGACTTCTGCCTATTTCTGAGATTCAAAAAACCAATGTGGGACAATATTGTGACTCCTCTGAAGAGCTACAAGCTGAATCGCAAATAGCTTTGAAGGCCTTTTGAGAAATCGACTATAACTGGTTCGAAGATTCGGAAAAAAGTTGGCGTAAGTGACTAACTTAAGACGACGATAGATTTGAATTAAAAAGGGATTTAAAAACGATACTATTAAATTGGACTAAATTTTTGATCACAATGTTATATCTAAAATTAGATATAAAATTGTATATTCGTTCGATATATTAGTTAACAGATAAGTTGTAACTCTTAAGCATAAAGGAGAAGGAAATTTTAAGCTTCAAAATGGAAAGTGGTACCCGTAAGCCTTAAACTAATTAAAATTTGCGTGAAAGTCGGACTATACTTTACAAACCTTTCGTACACATTTATTTTAATGTAGAAATCCCTGAAAAAATACATACATTTAGTGGTAAGGGGCTGAGAATATAACAATAGGCTTTGTTATTGTTCTTCCGGACATTTTTCAGTTCTAGGAAACGTAATGATTTGTCATCTAGCACGTATAGAAATTTCAAACATAATGTAGTTACATACTACCTTATGCCTTGCTTTGTGCTTTAGTTAATAATTGTAACGTATCGTGGGCCAGGTAAATTTTTTTTTTTAACTATTCTCTGATCTGAGATGGGCATATCGAAAGGCTTCCATTGGTAAAAACCCGCACATTAATGTTATCTTTTTGAAAATGAAAGAATTTTTCCGTAAACATACGGCTATAATAGTAGACAATATAAGTTTCTCTCTATCCTATATAGAACCACTAGATATGAGTCGCTCCTATTCCAACCCGCATTTATAATCTAAAAGGAAGGAAAGGAAAGAAAAATTATGAATATATAATAGATAAACTATGACGTAACGACTATTGAAAATTAAAAAATTCAATATCAGGAGGATCAACCTTTATTATATTCTACATTCCTTGTGGCACAAAGATTTATAAGTTTATGCGGATCAGAGGGATTTGAAACCGATTTACCGTTCGTCATACTGATCAGATTCGAGCACGCTTTCTGATCGATGTAAGCTTTTACGTCCGCCTATCTTTCTTGTGTCCTTGTGTTTAACGTGCAGGCTCTAAGTTTTGACATATTTCAAAGAAATTTTTTACACTGCCCTGTACTGACCAAAGCACGCATGCTGTTGAAAATTATTAGGTTAGGTCCACTTTTTCAATCACCTCCTATATAACGTTTGATTTTGATAAGTCGTTACAAGAATAATTGGTAGGATGGTTTAGGATATTTAGCGACGGGCCGTCGCCCATAATGATGCTTCGACTTGCTTTTAATGTCTTAAATAAGTAAATAAATCATTTCAAAAATATTTTAAGGCAAAATAATTTCTTTTATTTTGAAATTGTAATACAAATATCTGTTTAAAAAAGACAAAAGCTAATTATATTTCCATTTAACTTAAATTTAACAAATATTTTTAATATATATTTCATGTAATATTACATTTAAAACAGAAATAAATTCTTACGCTTTTGACAAAAGCGAAAAAGCAATGCTTATAAGAAATGTAATTTTTTCATTATTGAACGCGTACACAAGGCAAAAGCGAAAAAGCAATGCTTATAAGAAATGTAATTTTTCGTTATTGAACGCGTACACAAGGCAACCGCAAACAAGAGAATGACAATACTTTGCCATTTGCAATGAGCAAAATGAAGTTAATAAAGCGTACATATGGATGCATATAAGACTGAAATATGAAATGATTTCTTTATGTGCTGTCATACAACAGTCAAAAACGAAAATAAGGACAAACGAAATTGCAGAGAGCCATTATAAGACGAAGCTAGAGAGAAAGAGAGAGTGTAAATATTTTAATGGCAAAATAGTTTATGCAGAATATACGTGAGATTTCCCTGCAAATTGTTTTAAATCCAAATTTATCGTTTGCTTTAATTTTAATAGCAATGGGTGTCATTATGCACAAATTTCCACTTCGGGTGAAAATCCTTCAATTTGTATGGTTGTCTCAAAGAAATGATAACGTTTATGAACGGCAATAGTTGCTGTTTCTAGAACTTTTTTCGCATCGACACCTTCGCCTAGAAATATAAAAAAAGAAAAAAATAAAATTAAAATTAAAATATAACAAATAAGAAAATTTATTCGCCTTAAGGTGTATCTTGTATACCAATCAAATAATGTTGAAAGTTTCTTTTAGCTTCGGAGCAAAGATTAAAGTTCATACTGTTTTTAAGAAGAAAGTTGAAAAATAATTGCGTTAGTGCAGACAAATTGTGGAGTTGAGTTGAGTTGCGTGTAACTTACTTTATTGGAAATATTTTGCTTATCATTTGAATCTAAGCGAATATTGGAAACTTTAAATTTTATCTTATTAATTGACGTATAATATTTCTGGATATAGATGTCGCTTTTTAAATTCGAAGTAAAGATTACAAAAATATTTATATTTCCTTAGAAACCGAAGGGTTTTTGAAGTAAGAAATTTATATTCGGCGGGGGCCGAATCGCGCATATCCACCACTATGTTGTTCGCATTCCACGCTCTAAGTTCCATACCAAAAACTTAATCGCGTTCATTTTAAAAGTAAGCCATTTTTAGATTAAAAAGATTTTTAGATTAAAAAAATATTTTTTTTTCCTTAGAAAACGAAGGGCTTTTGGAATATTCGAATCTCGATCCGGAATATTAAAACTCCAAAATTGTATAAATATTAGTTTAAAGTAAACTTGGCGGAAGTTATGAAAATAGGCAAATGTAGTCAACGAAGTAGATCGCTAGCCTGGGAACGCACTATTAACATATACATTTTAACCCTTTTTTTTCATTTACCCCGTAATACCGATCGATTTAGAATCACATTCAGATTCACTTTCTGAATCAATCTGTCTGTTCGTCTGTCCGGAGCAATATGTTCGTTTATCCTGTTTGTGCTTTTTTTAAAATTTTTGAGATATCTGATAAACTGACGGACTTTTGCCCAAAGGCAAGCGTTATTTAAAGTGGTTCGTACCGGACGACATTTTCGACCACTTCTCCAGTGACAACTTATTTTGAGTCGGAGAAGTCGGTAAACGATGAACTGTATTAAGCAAACTGGGGCAGGCTATTTAATGGTGAGCCGTGATACACTATAGTTTTCAGTCGTTCTTAAATGGCGAGTAATGAGAAATTAAGCAAAAAGCGAAAAAAAAGTGTATTTCCATTTTAAAGAATAAACATGTTACAGGCTTCTGATTGCTTGTAGAGTTTTACATATGTTGCATCTATAGTCTGTTTATATAACTTTTTATGCTTTCTTTGCCACAAGGTGCTCTAGCATTTCACAGTGACTTAACTAAAGTTCCCATGTGATAACTTATTTCATGTCTTTTATTGATTGGTTTAAGCTAAACTCAGCCAATTGCCTGAAATCAGCCTTAGTGTAAACATACATTTCCACTTCTTCTTAAATTCTCCATCATTTTTACACTTGGCTTATAATAAAAATAAAAGTAGCGCAATAACTAAAAACTTTCCAAAATCTCTAATAAGCTCTTGAATATGACAAGATAAAATTAGTTTACCTTTATCTTTGGGTGACCGACGTAAATTAAAAAAAAAAAAAAAACAATAAATGTATTAAATGCCTGTATTTCAATATTGAAATTATTGTTGCTCCTTTTTATTACATTTTGAGATTTAAAATTCAATTGCCCACAAGCACTAGAGAAAGTCTTCTCTGTCATTTTTACTATTATCATCTCTTTCTCTCTTTTTTTTCCTTGATTTAACACTCTTCTGACTTTTTTCTTCATCTATGCTTACAATGCAAATTGCATTTTCGCACGTGCATAGTGAAAAAAAGGGAAAAAAAAGACAAGACAGTAAGAAAGTTAAAGTTGCTTTTAAGAAAGAAAAGGCTAAATGTATATGTACGTAAAACATGAAAACATGTGGCTGCTATGTTCTTGGGCGAGAAGGACTTAAGCGAGAAGTCTAAGCAGATAAATGCAAAAGTAGAAGAAACTGAACAAAACTCTGCTGCCAAATATTTTAGTTAAATTTTTTGTTCGTCTTTTCTTTTTAATCTTTAGCATAGAATTACAATGTATGTACTTTTTTATAAATTTTTATAGGAAAAACAAGTTAACAAGTCTCGTACATTTTCGTACTTGTTTGTTTTTTCTTTTTTTTTTTTTCTACTTAACTATACAGCAAGGGAATATATTAAGTTTGTTATTAGTTTTGTAAGATAAAAAATTATTTTCATTATTTGATTGCTCATAAAAACGCAACCTTGCCTTGTTAGGCTTTCTTAAACTGTTATTATTAATATCATTAAAATTATCCTTTCACTTTTTGATAAATTTGGAGGTGCTAGGCATGCTTATATCGCTTTATTTTGTCATATTACATTTTAATTTAATATGAGTTTTTTTCACTCTGTATCTCTCTCTTATATAGTTTTTCACTTTGTATTTACATAACTAGCAAATAAATTTTACAACACTAAAGAAGCAAATAAAATAAAAATGCTGTTAAACATGTATATCCAGCATACATGCAAAATTGCACACACGTTTATATGCTCATATATATATATATATATATATATATATATATATCTTCCGGCATATATACGTGTGAACATGTACTGAAGAACTTTTTCCTTTGTATAACCAAAAAAATTTCAATTATGAAATTAATTTATGAACATAAACATGAAGCTCTTGTTTTGTTGTTGTTTATTTAGTTATAGTTATTGTTATTCTTGCTTCTGCAGTTTTGTTTATTATAACTTGAAGACAATTTTTAAATAATAACCAAGTTCATTAAATAATATTTAAGTGTTATTTCTTTTTTATCAGAAAATGCTATAAAAAAGCAATGCATAACAAAGCTAAATATGAAAACTTTACAAAAACTTCGGCGTATGAGTAACGATTGTATTTGAATAGACATTCTATACAGCCTTATGAATGTATGCGTGTCTATACGTTGTACAAAAGCACAATGCATTCAATTGATTGCATGTCACATTGAAACGCACAACGGGGCGTATGATTTGCTCGTAAACAATATATTAATCAGAGTTTTTCTTATTCATCGTACAGGCGACAATATCACTCACATTCTTCATATGAAAAATTGCATTGTTTTGCCTCTTTTAAGCGCAACCGTATGTAACTTTTGTGATATCAAGAAAAACAAAAATGATTAACTGAAAAACGGCTTCTCCCTACAAAAGATTTACTTTATGTCTTTGGAAAAACTCTGCACGCCACCCTTGCTCTCTTTATCTAACAGCACTTGACAAGGCGTCCTTCTGTTTGTAAACCCTATACATACCCGTCTAAGATTGCCCATAAATAGCATATCTTTGTGACCAACTTAGGATTTGTATCAAATTTATTCGCATTCATCGATCTGCATTCATTATTAAGTTAAAGTTTTATTGGCACTAATTCCATCACCTAAGGGAGAAATCAACGAGAGATATCTATTTGAAAATGTATAACTCATTTGCCAGCATTCCCGTATAAAACTGGCCACGCTCGACTAACGGCACCAAGACGACGCCTACAAAATTCAAATCAATGTTAATGTATTAACTAATATCCGGAATAGCGTTTAATATGACGAAATCGCTTCAAATATCTCAAAAATTGCCGCCTGTACATTGAACACAAGAAAACAAGCCGAAGGCAAAAGAACCGACAACCACGATGTAATAAAACGTGCTTCCTTCTGGGCGTTGCATCTGCATAAACTTAATATACTCTTGCAGCCCAGGCGGTGTAGGGAGTGATCAACCTATAGGTAGAAGGGCTCGTGGAGGATTTCAAAAAATACGAATTTTTACGAGACTAAGGAGTGTAAGGAAAGTAAAACTTCAAAAAAAAGCCAATTTTTTATTAGTATTTATTCACTTCGAAATGGAAAATTTGCTAAGTGTTCGCAGGCAAAACAAGTAAAACTATTGGAATTATGTTGCGTGCACAGACTGTTGATTTCAAGATATTGAAAAAAAAAAAACTCAAGTGAAACGAATAAAAATTCTAGGAGTTGTTGCGTCAGCCGTTCGAGAAAAACGCGCTTTAAACTTAAGCTTCCCATATACCGTTATATAATAGTCATTTAAAATTCTCTCACGGCAGCGATCATCTTTTTATACAATTCTTGACAACTAATGGGATCATTTCAAAAAAATTGGAAATTCTGGAAAATTCAGAATGGGGGGTCAATTCTTAAAGGAAAATTTTCCAAAAGAATAAAAAAATTTTACTGGATTTTATATTACAACGCGTGGCGAATCTTCAAATACCATCTATCCAGTTGCACTATAATGTCTTGCAAGACGGAACAAAGCTGCATTGACTCGATCACACTTTATCTCTTCGTAGATCATACTACAAACTAGATACCACACGACGTCGAATGCGTAAACTGATAGCCGTCTAACGGTTTTTATTTGCAAAAGTTGATAGTTATACTTTTGCGTGACGACTATGGTCTTAGCAATCATTTTTTTTTTTCATTTTGGTGAGAACAACAACACGTTTTCTCTCTCTCTCTCTCTCTCTCTCTCAATCGAGTAAATTGCACGGATAACAAAATTGGTATCATTCCTTATAAAATATTTAAACATTTTAATAAAGTTCAGTTTAGTTAAGTCCAGTATTGTGAGCCTTGAATACAATATCTAAATATTGAACAGAACGCATCAGAACGAATAAGGCATTGTTTCAAATCACTTCACCGATTAGCTGTGAATCATTACTCAACTCTTTCCCGTTCAAAAAATTCTTTACTTATAGAGCCTTCCAACAGATCACAAACAATACATATATTCTTTGTAAACACTCACATCTTTATTACTTTTTATTCCTTTCTTTATTTTTGCACTACTACAACTGCACTGCTACCTCTTTTATCACTGTAATTTGTCACTAAGGAATTTACAGGAAGTTTTTGTAAATCCCTTGCCGCATAATTACTTTATGACGGCGACTTTTAACTTTCCTTTTTTTATTTAAAACATAACTTTCTTACTTTCCTACTCATTTTCGCATTCAAAGTGAATGATAGCAGTGAGAG